ATATGTGTTTTTAGTCGTTTCTTGAAGATGGCTAAGGACTCAGCGGCTCGGATTGAGTTGGGCAGGTCATTCCACCAGGAGGAAACAGTTAATGAAAAAGTCAGTGAAAGTGATTTTGTGTCTCTTTGAGATGGCACAATAATGCGTCATTCACTTGCAGAACGCAAAATTCTAGAGGGCACATAACTCTGAAGTAATGAATTTAGGTAAAGGGGTGCAGAGCCAGAGGTGGTTTTGTAGGCAAACATTAATGCCTTGAATTTTATGCAACCAGCTATTGGCAGCCAGTGCAAATTGATAAACAGAGCCATGTTTCTGAATGACAGAACCTAGTGATGCCACATAGACAGAGAAGAGAAGCGGTCCAAGAACTGAGCCCTGAGGCACCCCAGTAGCTAGATGTTGCGACTTGGACACCTCACCTCTCCAAGATACCTTGAAGGACCTATCTGAGAGGTAAGACTCAAGCCACTGGCGTGCGGTTCCTGAGATGACATTTTCCAATAGGGCTGACAGGAGAATCTGGTGGTTCACCGTATCAAAAGCAGCGGACAGATCCAGCAAGATAAGTATAGAAGATTTGGAAGCCGCTCTTGCCAGTCTTAGGGCTTCAACAACTCAGAGCAAGGCAGTCTCGGTCGAATGCCCACTTCTGAAGCCAGAATGGTTGCTGTCCAGGAGGTTATTCTGTGTGAGAAAGGCAGAGACTTGGTTGAACACAACTCGTTCAAGTGTCTTTGTAATGAAAGGAAGAAGGGAAACCGGTCTGTAGTTCTCTAAAAGAGTTGGGTTAAGAGTGGGTTTCTTAAGAAGTGAGGTTATACGAGCCTGTTTAAATGTTGAGGGAAAAACACTAGTGTAAAGGGATGCGTTAACGATGTTGAGTGAGTGCAGGAACAATGGCAGGAGAAATGGCTTGAAGGAGATGAGATGGAATAGGATCAAGCGGACAAGTAGTAGGATAATTGGAAAAGATGAGTTTAGAGACTTCTGCCTCAGAGAGTGGAGAGAAGGATGAAAATGAGTGTATGTTTGCTGGTAAGATGTGTTTGACAGTTTGTGGTGTGGTAAATTGTGCACTGAGGTTTGTAATTTTATTAATGAAGAATGTGGCAAAGTCGTCAGCTGTTAGAGCTGATGAAGGAGGGGGAGGAGGAGAACAAAGTAGGGAGGAAAATGTTTTAAAGAACATGCGAGAGTTAGGCGAATTGTTAATTTTGTTGTGATAGTATGTCCTTTTAGCAGTGGAGACATTAGCAGAGAATGAAGAGAGGAGTGATCAATATACATTAAGGTCAGTAGGATTTTGTGATTTGTGCCATACTCTTTCTGCAGCTCTGAGCTTAGAACGATGCTTGCGGAGAACATCAGACAGCCAAGGGGCAGAAGAGGTGGTACGAGCTGGCCTCGAAGACAAGGGGCAGACAGTGTCTAAACAAGATGTAAGAGTGGAGAAAGTATCAGTAGCACTGTTAACATCAAGAGATCCCAGGTAGCCAGCGCAATCGGGCCAATTGTGGCTGAGCGTTGGCTCACTCGGCTGTGTTCTGGCAGCGGCTCACCAAAAGTGAGCCAGTTCTGGCCCAGTAATGGTTGCCAGATTTGGCTAGACTTTAGATGTGCGGATTTGGCCCGATTTGCACTGAGACACGGCACATTTAGCCACATTGGGCCGGTTTGCAGGTATGGAAATGCGACGCTCCAGGTGTTTGTGTTTGCGCATGCGTAGATTCATGACTGCCGAGGTAACACATGTAACGCTGCGGGAACATTGTTTTAACACATTGACATATAATGTTATTCAAAAGGTATATTCTTACCTTATATTCTTAAAAATAATAAAAAAAAATATTTTTTTTTTTTTAATTTTTTTAATTTTTTTTAAATTTAGCGAACAAGACTAGTGTCGGCATGATTGTGACCCAGTGTCGGCTCAGTTTCAGTACCCAGACTCGAGCCAGTACTGGCTAAGTGTACCATTTTGATTGGCGTGATTGTGGCCCAATGCCGGTAGTGTCGACTTAGTTTTAGTACCCAGACTCGGGCCAGTACTGGCTAAGTGTCACAATTCTTGTCGGCGTGATTGTGGCCCAGTTTCAGTACCCGGTCTTGGACCAGTACTGGCTAAGTGTAGTATTTTTGGTGGCATGATTGTGGCCCATGTGCCGGCAGTGTCAGCTCAGTTTCAGTACCCAGACTCGGGCCAGTACTGGCTAAGTGTTTCAATTCTTGTCGGCGTGATTGTGGCCCAATGCCGGCAGTTTCGGCAGCCGGACTCGGGCCAGTGTATTTGGGCCGATTCTGGGGTGTCATTCTCTATGGAGTACCATGGAGTAACCAGTACATGATCAGTGGAGCAGTGTCGTGTGTAAATAAGGTCCAGTTGGTTGCCTGATTTGGGCCCGTGATTGGCTGAGTAGATTGACTGAAGCGCCAATCGCCAAAGCCCCACCACACCCCCACTTATTAGCGCTATTATTTAGTGGAGCTTTGCCATAAATTCCATGTATTACTATTAGATTTTGGTAAGTAAAAATTGATAAGTAAAAATGTCAGCTATTCTAAAAAAATGTTAGGGAGGGGCTCAAAAAAAAAGAGAAAAACGTAAAAGACAAACAGCAGATAAAACATAGTCAGTAAAATCCCCAGCTATCAGGTTATTTAATAAAGATGATGATGGAGTAGAAGTTGTGAAACAGCAAATGGACCAGGCACATGGAGCAGATAAAAACAGCACCATCGCCCACACAGATTTTAGGTTAGTTTGATTATTAACTTGATGGATGTATTTGGCTTTTTGTGTTCGAAATATATTCGTTTAAGGGTTGGGAAACAACCCGGTAGAAAAATGTCCATTGTTTTGCACGTCATGATGTAAGCTTAAACGCGTTTTAAGCATTGTGGTTTAAAAACAAATGGTTTTAAACTATTCATGGACATTAAGCAGCGGGGCAGAATTCTTGTTGGTAAATTCTTTAAAAGTCTTGTTTAACCGTTAAGACGGTTTCAGCCTGATAAGCGTGGTGCGCAGCTGCTGGTACAGCGCCTGGCTAAACTTGAGGTCTTTTTCGCACCTTGTGCTTAAATGTTCAAATACACATAGTTATGTGTCAAAATGGAGTATCCTCATCAACACAGTCAGTTGTGTCTTACATGAACGTTAATAGTTAAAGGTGCAGTAGGAGATCTTGGAAAATGCTAACTTTAGCCTGAAAGCCAAAATCCCACCCTCCCTGCAATCACCGTCCAAAGCCACGCCCCCTGAACGCATATACGCTCACAGACCAGAAGACCAGAGACAACATTACTACAATAGGCTACATCAACGGTTCCCAATTCCAGCCCATGTTCCTAAGTGAAGTAAACTTCAACAGATTTCCCCTGCTCAGTGAGGAGGGAGCAACAAACACTGTGTAAGGATCATATCGATCAGAACACAGTAACGAGCTGGTTATATGAATCAGGTGTGTTAACTAAGCGAGACATGCAAAATATGCAGAGCGGGGAGCGGGGGGTGCGAGGACTGGAATTGGGAACCGCTGGGCTACATCATGTATCATTCACCGGTGAGAAAACTTTAAAAGTACTACTATACCAGGAAGGAAGATCGGGTTGTTGATGTTTGTCTGCCATCCTCGCTCTGTCTGCACAGCGTGCGAGAACGCGCTGATGACGTATCCTGTCTGCGCGAACCGCAGAGGTATGCAGATACATACGTTGACAGGCAGGTAGGAAAGCTCGGACCGAATGTTTTGATTGGACGAACATTTCTTGGTCCTACACCTTCCACAGAATATATAAATACAGATAAATGCATTTAGACCACTTAACTTAATGATTGCTATCGGGATGTGAAGAGACTTTCAACCAGCATAACAAAAAATGTTTCTGAAGACAATCACCTATTGCACCTTTAAAGATAAAACATGTGTAGTAGGCTATATGAGATCCTGGCATCATATGATCTTCACCCAAAAATGAAAATACTGTCATCATTTACTCACCCTCAAGTTGTTCTAAACCTGTATGAATTTCTTTGTTCTCCTCAAGAATGTTCATAACCAGAAAGTTTCTGGTCCCCATTGACTCCAATAGTGTTTTTAAATTTTTTTTGATAATTTTTTTTGGTTGCCAGTATTGTTCCAATTATATTATTTTGCGTTCAACCGCAGAGGGTAACTCATACAGGTTTAGAACAACAACAGAATTTTCATTTTTGGGTGAACCATTCCTCTAAAGCAGCCTAATATAGCTGCTGTTGCCATTTGTGTCAATAATGTAAATCAAACGTCAGAAAGAAAATCATTCTCTGTCCTTGACTGAATCACTTTCGTAAAATAAGTAAGAATTAGTGTATATTGAATTTATACAGTGAAGACTATTCAGTCTATTTGCACATTTACTTTATACAATATAATATTTCTTATTCATTTTTTAAAAGTTTTTCAAGTAGGTTGATTTCATATGTATCTTTGTGCTATTATAATTTGTGACTGTTTACTTGTTCGGTAAGCTTGGTTTTACTTGAGCTAGTATTTATTTGTGATATTGAAATTGGTAACAATAATTATGAAATTTCAGTGCATCGAAAAATGTTGATAGCATAAAAATCCAATTTATCATATATATATAATTATTGTGACGGGGGCCCTGCAGTAAGTCATAGCCCCAGGGCCCAGTGAGATCTTAATGCGGCCCTACTTCTACATTGTGCAGAATACAGCTACCAAAAAATAGAGGAGTTATTTAAGAAACTGAGAAACATCGGAGTAATATCAAATCTTTTAAGTTGTGCCTCAGTATTATGAGATAAATTCTTAGTTATCTGAAGATAACAGGATTAGAAAGTAGAATTTAAATTTCATATTAATACTACCTTTATTTATCTCCCTCCTTCCCTCCTTCCCGTTAATGCTTCACACTCCAGTCCAGTTGGTGGCGGTAATACATCATAAGTTGGCTTGTCAACCGCGATTAAATGGTACAACAACAACAAGAAGAAGAAGAAGCTCCCAGTATGCACCGCGATCCGGTCGCTCTTTTGTTGCCGGAAACGCCTCTGGGACAATGCAAGCACATCCCGATGTTCAGAGGTAAACCACAAATACGTGATTAAATCAAATCTTACGAACGCGGGTGATAAAAGGGCTTGACGATGTTGGATTGTCTCTCACTGTAGTGAGTCACGTTTCATGTGAGGTTTTTAGAGTAAGTTCCTTGATGGTGTTTTTCATAGCACAGTAAGCCCACAACGCAGCGTTACAACTGACCTCGAGTTAAACCGCAGTAATACTGCAGCGCGCGAGGCAGAAATGTGCTGCTTACGCAATGAAGCCTGCACTTCAAATGTCTTCTGTCTACAACACTACAGTCAAAGGTTTTTGAACAGTAAGATTTTTAATGTTTTTTAAAGAAGACTCTTCACCAAGCCTGCATTTATTTGATACAAAGTACAGAAAAAAAAAATATATATATGTATATATATTTTTTTATTTTTATATTTTTACTATTTTAAATAAATGTAATTTATTTCTGTGATCAAAGCTGAATTTTCAGCATAATTACTGCAGTCTTCAGTGTCACATGATCTTCAGAAATCATTCAAATATGCTGATTTGCTGCTCAAAATCATTTATACTTTTATACATTTATTTTACAATAAAGTTGCATTTTTTCAGGATTCTTTGATGAATTGAAAATTCAGAAGAAGGCATTTATCTGAAATATAGTATATGTCTTTATCATCACTTTTGATCAGTTTAAAGCATCCTTGCTAAATTAAAGTATTACTTTATGTAATAATTCTTTCTATTCATCAAAGAATCCTGAAAACGTAATCTGAAAAATGTACTTAGCTGTTTTAAATATTGATAATAATAATAATAATGTTTCTTTCTCAGCAAATCAGAATATCAGAATGATTTCTGAAGATCACGTGACACTGAAGACTGCAGTAATGATGCTGAAAACACAGCTTTGAAATCACAGGAATAAATTACATTTTAAAATATATAAAAATCGGAAGCAGTTATTTTAAATAGTAAAATATTTCACAATATTACGGCTTTTGCTGTATTTCGGATCAAATAAATGCAGGCTTGGTGAGCAGAAGAGTAGTGCAGACACAGTGCAGCCTCATTCCCTTTCTCATAATAAAACTGCATTTAAGGTTTATTTTTTTAAGGTGTACTTTAAAGAATTTCCCACCTAATAAAGAGTAATTGTAACAAGCATACATTTTATTAAAACAAACAAGTTCCTTTTTGCAGTAGCTATGCCACCAATCTGTTTAAGTTGAGTCATTTATGAAAACCGTTTCATTTGTAGGTTGGAAAAGGGAGATGTGTCTCAGAGAGAAGATCTCACCGGTCTGCCTGACCTGGCTGCGGCTGACCAACTGTTTAATGGCTCTACAGTTGCTTCTAGGTTCCTGCGGGCTGAACTGGAACTGAACGCACGGTTGCGGACGCTGTCGTTTGGGAAACCAGTGCGATACACGTACAACCCGCTTGAGTACGCCTGGGACACACATCGATGCTATGTGGAGAAATACTGTCAGGAAGGGCAGAGCGTTCTCTTTCTAGGCATGAACCCAGGGCCTTTTGGCATGGCACAAACAGGGGTCAGAAGATTTTCTTTCTTTTTATGTTTTCACAGTGTTATTTTTTTGTTGTAATGATATTATTTGAGGATAAATTCAGTAAAGAACAGGGTTTCAGTGGGTCTTAATTCACCCTTCCACAAACCAAGGCATTAACAGTGTCTTGAATTAGACCAGAGTGTCTTAAATTCACTCATTCATAGCATTAAATGTTGCGTGCATAATAATAATAATAATATATTCCTCAGTGTTTTTGTCTTGTTTTTCCAAAACAAATTATCTAAACTTCCTTAAATCAGGATACTTCAGATACATCATTTACTTCAGATGCAAAATGAAGATATAAAGTCTTGTTTAATTGAATAAATGTAACTGTGTTTATGCTTAAAACAAGTACAAGTATCTGTCAATGGTGTATGTATAACGAGGGAGGCGTGATGACAAAGTGGGGATCCAAATGCAAGGCTTTAATAAGAGCGTAGTCAAACAGGTGTGGTCAACAACAGCAAACAACGATGGCAGTGGCAAGGCAAAAGAGTAATCCAGATAATCAGGCAATGGTCAGGGCAGGCAGCAAAACGATCATAAATAAGAAAACAGTCCAGGGATCAAAACACAAAGGCAAGGAAACAGAAACCACGGAAGAGCTATACAACATTCAATCACCAGCGATGACAGAGAGTGTGTGTGCTATTCTTATAGTCCTACTAATGTGAGACAGCTGTGTGAACTGATGATGAGATCTGATGAGAGACAGGTGATGCACTTGATGAGTCCGGGCAAAGGATTATGGGAAATGGAGTCCTGAGTGAATGGCAAGGTACAGAATGGAGTGCCCTCTAGAGGAGCTCATGGGCACTCCAGCTGGAGATCATGACAGTATGAAAACTTTATTTCCTTTTAAATTAAGTTTATTTTTTGAGCCCATTGGCAGATATTTATTCTTGTTTTAATCATAAATTCACTTCAGTTACTCAAAAAACAAGGTAAGTAAAAGTACTTTACATTAACCATTGCACTGGATAACAAGACCAAAACACTGCAGTGTGATCAGAAGTTACAGTAAACGTTATTTCTGTATTCTAGTGTTTGGAAGCTGAAGTATTTTAAGCAATGTTTTTTTTTTTGTGAACGGATTAAAAAAAAAAAAACATGTAATGGAGTTCTGTAGGAAGTTGTATTTTTAAACGTTTAAGTCTTGCTAATATAACTCATTGTGTGATTTACATTTTGAGAACAGATTGACATTGTGTTCTTTCATTTTTCTTTTCTCTTACTTAAAAAGCTCCTTTTAAGTCTTACATGTACCTTCATGAAGCCTGAAAAACTCTGAAAGAGATGATGAGAATGCCATAATTTCTGATTAGCAAATTTATAGTTACATACACTTAAAGGGGAAAATTTACCCCAAATCATTATTTGCTCACTTTTATGTTTTTCCAAGCTTATCTGTCTCCCCCCCCCCATAATTTTTAGAAAAGCTATCACTTTTAAGTATTTGCTGAAAAAAGAGAACAGAAAAGAAACAGAACAAACTGAGACAGACTCAATCCTGAAGAACTGTGGCAGCATCTCCAAGATGCTTCAAGAAACCCACCTGCAAAACTACAGTACTGTTAAAAGTTTTATGCACTTGTGTAAAAATGCTGTAAAATGAGAATGCTGTCATAAATAATTTTTCTTTATCAATTAACTTCTATGAACTAAATCAAGTCAACATCTGGTGTGAGCATCCTTTGTGTTTACAGCAGCTTTTGCCCTCGGTGCACTTGCGCATAGTTTTTCAGGGAGCTTTGCAGGAGGTCTCTTGAAGCGTCTCGGAGACACAGTTCTTCTGGATTGAGTCTGTCTCAGTTTGTTCTGTTTCTTCATGTGACTCCAGACAGACTGATTATGATCAGATCAGATCTCTGTGTGGAGCTCAAAAATCTCACTGCATTATTACAATTAATGGCCAAATGAATGTTTGGAAATGTAAACTGATATTTCCTATTGACACACTACAGCAAAAGATAGAAGTAACTGACTTAAAATCCATATTTAGCTGCTGAAAATACTAGTGTTCTAATAATTTTGGCCACCGCTGTATATGCAAAAATTTTTTTTGTCGCAGACAGACAATCACTCCTCCTGATTAGTGTTTTTGGTAAGTTGCATTCTACAGCAACATCTGAGAAAAAATTCCTAGCATGTTGATTGTGAATTGTATAAAAGCATATAAAAAAAAAAAGAGTCACTTATTATTAGCAGCATCCGCATTTGTGATTTCTAACAAAAATGACCAGTTTCTGTAGTTGGCACTTTTTAAAGATTCTTGCACTGTTCATATGAGATTTCATAATTTCTTACGGTTTAAATAAAGTGATGGATAATGCAGAAGAACATTTAAAAAAAGAAACAAAAAATCAACTACATCTCTTACTTCCTCATTAACAAGGTGCCGTTTGGCGAGGTGAAGGCAGTTCGCAGTTGGCTGAAGATCACTGGAGCGGTCGGCCGTCCAGCAGAGGAACATCCTAAGCGACGGATCACAGGCCTCGACTGCACTCAGAGTGAAGTGAGCGGAGCCCGTTTCTGGGGCTTTTTCCAAGAGCTCTGCGGTGAAACTCACAACTTCTTCCGCCACTGTTTTGTGCACAACTTGTGCCCTCTCATCTTCATGAGTGAGTCTGGCAAGAACCTGACTCCACCTGAGCTCCCGGCCGCGGAGCGTGATGCCCTTTTGTCCTGCTGTGACAGTGCTCTCTGTCAGGTGGTCACTGCACTGGGGGTCTCCATGGTGATCGGAGTGGGCAAGCTAGCTGAGCAACGCGCTCGACGGGCTCTTGCAGAAGCAGGCATCACTGTGAGAGTGGAGGGTATCATGCATCCGTCCCCTAGAAACCCACTGGCTAATAAAGGATGGGCTAACATAGTCAGAGACAAACTAGATAATGTGGGGGTGTTAAGTTTGCTTACCAGTTGAGGATGATGATGACAGCTACTACCTCTGCATTTTAAAATTCACTCATTAATTCTTTTGAACCTTACTGTTGACATTATCAGTGACATGAGAAAGTCTTGGCCTAATGGTTAGAGAGTTGGACTTATAACCCAAAGGTTGTGGGTTCGAGTCTCGTACCGGCAGGGATTGTAGGTGGGAGGAGTGAATGTACAGCGCTCTCTCCTTCAATACCACGACTGAGGTGCCCTTGAGCAAGGCACCGAACCCCCCACTGCTCCCCGGGCGCCGCTGCAAAAATGGCTGCTCACTGCTGTGTGTGTGTGTGTGTGCACACCCCACTGCTCCCCGGGCGCCGCTGCAAAAATGGCTGCCCACTGCTGTGTGTGTGTTCACTGCTGTGTGTGTGTGTGTGTGTGTGTGTGTGCACAATTTGGATGGGATGAATGCAGAGCACTAATTCCTAGTATGGGCCACATGTCACGTCACTTAATGAGACATTTGTGGAAGTAATTATGTAGGAAGTAAAACATCAGAACAACAGAAGTTATGACCATTAATGGAGTACTTTATCATACATTTATTATTTTTAAATTTGTTTTTATCTGTGTGTGTGTATATACACACAAAACTTTTGATGGCCATTTTAAGCTCTTTTGTGTTAATATGTAAAGTACATGCATATGTTTTTTTTTTTTAACCATATATGTGTTTTTTATATGTAATTAGATGTTTGTTGTATTTTTTAGATTACATTTGTGTAGCTAAGAAAAAAAAAACTACTGTAGATATTACTTTGTTAGTCTTTGATTATAACACACTAACTTAGCCATAGTGAGTTCAAGAGGTTATTGTACCTTGAATTCAATCTCATTTTTGCCCTCGAGTGGCGTGTCATTTTTTATTCTGTTTAACCCAAATGTTGAGTCGAATGTATAGGTGATTCAATAAATTGTATTTCATGTTCAGCACCATCCTTTAATTTTGTGTTCATCCGTTAACCAAAGTGTTTTGTATTTCAAAAGAAAACAAATATGTTCAACAAATCTAATGTGAATTGAGAAGAAGCTTCTTTCTTTTTTGGCATGATAAATATTTCCTTGGACCCTTTTTTCCTTGTTTTATTTCATTAAATCAGATTTCATAATATTAAGCATAAAATGTGATTTAATGTCACTGATGATGAGAATTGTGTGATCTTTGAATAATATCAGTCTTTAAATGTACACCCCTTCTGCCCCTTGGCTGTCTGATGTTCTCCGCGAACATCGCTCTAAGCTCAGGGCTCCTGAAAGGGTGTGGCACAAATCAAAAAATCCTACTGACCTTAATGTGTATCAGTCACTCCTCTCTTTATTCTCTGCTAATGTCTCCACTGCTAAAAGGACATACTATCACAACAAAACTAACAATTGGTCAAACTCTCGCATGCTCTTTAAAACATCTTCCTCACTCCTTTGTCCTCCTTCATCAACTTTAACAGCTGACGACTTTGCTACGTTCTTCATTAATAAAATTAAAACCATCAGTGCACAATTTTCCACACCTCAATCTGTCAAACACATCTTACCAGCAAACATACACTCGTTTTCATCCTTCTCTCCACTCTCTTGAGGCAGAAGTCTCTAAACTCATCATTTCTAATCATCCAACTACTTGTCCTCTTAATCCTATTCCATCATATCTCCTTCAAGCCATTTCTCCTGCAGTTGTTCCTGCACTCACTCAACATCGTTAACACATCCCTTCACACTGGTGTTTTCCCCTCCGCATTTAGACAGGCTCGTATAACCCACTTCTTAAGAAACCCACCCTTAACCCATCTCTTTTAGAGAACTACAGACCCTTCCCTTCTTCCTTTCATTACAAAAACACTTGACCGAGTTGTGTTCAACCAAGTCTCTGCCTTTCTCACACAGAATAACCTCCTCGACAGCAACCATCCTTGCTCTCAGTTGTTGAAGCCCAAAGACTGGCAAGAGCGGCTTCCAAATCTTCAATACTTATCTTGCTGGATCTGTCCGCTGCTTTTGACATGGTTAACCACCATATCCTCCTGTCAACCCTATTGACAAAGGGCATCTCAGGAACCGGACTCCAGTGGTTTGAGTCTTACGTCTATCTAGGTATCTTGGAGAGGTGAGGTGTCCAAGTCACAACATGTGCAACTGGGGTGCCTCAGGGCTCAGTTCTTGGACCACTTCTCTGTCTAAATGGCATCACTAGGTTCTGTCATTCAGAAATATGGCTTTTCATATCACTGATATGCTGATGACACTCAACTCTACCTCTCATTCCATCCTCTGCTTGCATCTCAGCTTGTCTAACAGACATTTCTTGCTGGATGACGGACCATCACCTTCAACTCAACCTTGCCAAGACAGAACTGCTTGTGGTTCCGTCAAACCCATCGTTTCATCACAATTTCACCATCCAGTTAGGCACATCAACCATAACTCCTTCAAAAACAGCCAGAAACCTTGGAGTTATGACTGATGATCAGCTGACTTTCTCAGACCACATTGCTAAAACTGCCCGTTCCTGCAGATTTGCTTTATTCATCAAGAATAAAGAAGATATATATCAAGAAGATCAGGCCCTTTCTTTCGGAACATGCTTCACAACTCCTTGTTCAAGCACTTGTTCTGTCCAGGCTGGACTATTGCAATGCTCTCTTGGCAGGTCTTCCAACCAGTTCTATCAAACCTTTACAATTAATCCAGAACGCGGCAGCAAGATTAATTTTTAATGAGCCAAAAATAGTGCACGTCACACCTCTGTTTATTAATTTGCACTGGCTACAAATAGCTGCTCGCATAAAATTCAAGGCATTAATGTTTGCCTACAAAACCACCACTGGCTCTGCACCCCTTTACCTAAATTCATTACTTCAGACTTATTTGCCTCTAGAAGCTTGCGTTCTGCAAGTGAATGTAGCTTTATTGTGCCATCCCAAAGAGGCACAAAATCACTTTCACAGACTTTTAAATTAAATGTTCCCTCCTGGTGGAATGACCTGCCCAACTCAATCCGAGCAGCTGAGTCCTTAGCCATCTTCAAGAATCGTCTAAAAACACATCTGTTCCAACTTTATTTGATGCTCTAACTCTAGCACTCTCTATTCTAATTATATTCTTTTTAAAAAAACTTGTCCCTTTTAGACTTGCACTCTATTCATTTACTGCTTGTTTTCTTTAAAAAAAAAAACTAACACTATAGCTTTTCTAATCTTTTTGTATTCTATCTATTTGTTTCCTTTTTATTTATTATACAATTAACAAATGTAAAAAAGGCCTCTAACAATAGATTGCTCTATTCTTTTTCTATTCTATCTGTTTTCTTTTTATTTATTATATAATTAAAAAAACGTGCTACGTGTACTGCGTTAATGCTAACTGAGACTTGTTATAGCACTTGCATATCATTGCTCTTTTGTTGATTTTGATTGCTTCCATTGTCCTCATTTGTAATTCGCTTTGGATAAAAGTGTATAAGTGACTAAATGTAAATGCAAGACATTTAAAGTGTACCTGAAGTTTACTTGCAATAGTTCCTCTAGCACAATCACATATACTTAATTTCATCTTTAGTTGGACTTCAGCACTACTTCCTCACAATTAAAGTGGATTAAGTACAAAATTAATTGTTCCAGTTTAGCAGACTTTTAGTATACCAGTTTAGTATACCAAAAGTACAATTGCAGTGTATTTTTATTAAGTCCATAAATATGTAAATGTATTTGTAGTATACTTAGAATGAAATAAATGTATTTCAAATACATTTTAGTGTATTTATTTTTCACTAGGGTTGAGTCTAATTGATTTGAAAACTAATTTACAAAGCTAGCCATTTGTTATTTTAATATTTAAATCTATATTAATTGAAGGAAGTATTTGGGTATCTGAACTGAATCTGGATGCACAGAGTAAAGCCTTTTTTCCCTCATGATACCTGTATAAACCTCTATGAGTGGACTTCACACATTTTCAGAGAACCCAACTCTTGTCATCCACTCTTTGTAAATAATCACCTCCTATTTCCAGCTCTTTCTACCAATGGGTCAAATGCACACAAATACACATTGTCTTGCTAATAATGATGGTCTTTCTCTATGTTGTATTATGAATTAACTCAGTAAGTCTTGCCAGTGGCATTTATTTTGTGGAGTAGAGACCCCAGCAGCAGCCATTTCACTTTATTTCACTCCCCTCAGAGAGAATAAGATCTGCAATGTTCTCTATACCTGCATAAATCCCACATTTGAGTTCATCTCAATGAACTGCCTCTTGAGTTTTGTGACAATGGGGTTTAGGTGTTACTAACATACTAACATTGATGCTTGCCTTAGCAAACACTAGTAGCTAATATTCATCTTCAGTCCTGTATTGTCATGTATTGATTATGTCTGCTACACAGATACCGTATAAGAACACTTTAGGTGGTCTTGACAAAGTGACCTCCTTGTGACCCCCCTGGCAACAAGTGGAGACACTGAGCATGAACATTAGTCCCCGTTTAATGGCTGATGCTTGCCAGAGACATCAATACAATGACAAATGAGGGCTTGGGTTATTAAAACAGAATTAGACTGGAGGGAGAGGGAAAAAGAGTGACAAATGAAGAGGTGTAGAGATTCACTGGAGAAAGTTGAGGATGAAGAAGAAAGGAATGCACAGAATAGGATTTTCATTTATTTTATTCATTGGTTTATTTGAATAATGATAGTACAAAAAACATGATTCTAGCAAAAAGCTGAAAAATGCGCTTGCAATGACTTACAAAGATACATAACAGTTACAAGTGTATGCACTACTTGCTCTATGCAAGCACTACATAGGATAAATAACTATACAGGATTTACCCTTATACTTTATCGACACGAATTGATAGGTGAAACAACAAACAGCCACCCACAAATAGTCTTTAAACAAAGCATCAGGCTGTCTTTGAGTTCACATGAAAACTTTAAAGTTACTCGTCGTCAGGCTACAGAAGAATACCATAATTCCTCCGTTCAATTAGGCCTAAGACATCCAGAGTCACGCAGACCTATAGCAACACAGCCACAACACATAATTGCGAATAACATGCCTTACCTTAACACAGAATCGACCACAGAGTCCAACATTTATATTTTTTCTACGAATCTTTGCGTTAACGTACTAAACATGAGTGG